ATTTTCCTGGCAAAACATTGAAATATATTGAATAAAACTGTTTAAGTTAATATAATTGTAATAAACACTTCCGTCTCATACTTTTGCTGTAGTATATAATGGAACAAAAATTACTTTTCTGCTGTACATTTTTTTGTCATCCTGATATTTGGAGTGAAACAAGTAATGTATGGGAGGCTGAAAAATGCTATTTTTCCCCCAAAGCTTTTGCGACTATGAGCAAAAAGGGATTAGTGAGCCTTAAGTGTATTCACCAGTGGAAACCAGCACTTAGCTATTAAATTAAAGCGCAAAATATCCATAAAATTACATTCCGTACTATAAACAATTTAGCAACTAATGAATACTTAGATTTACACAAAAACTATGATTTAGGTATAGGATATCACAGTACTTTTGCACATTTAACAAAATTTTTTTGATGTGGCCCTAAATATAATTGCGTATTTGGCTTGAAGAATAAAGAATTAATAAGACTTCGGTGAATTACTCAAGCATTTCCAATACACTTCTTTTTTTTCTTTTATTTATTTATTTACAAGAAAATTTCGAAAATAACATTGTTCTTACAGATGTAAAAAAACGTACATCTTGATAAAATTATTGACTGAAATTAAATAAATCACAATTTTCTTCATGTAATTATATATCATATAGTAGTAAAAAACTAAGTTATTTCTGTGTTCGTTTAACGTCTTTGAATTTATAAGATTCTAGAATATTTTTGTGTAACAACTAACGAATTTCTGTTAAAACACTTACATGCTGTACATTTGTAAATACACATATTCCAGCGTGAACGTAATATTGTGTACACTCAAACATAAAAAACAAATTTTTTTCACGAGGCCTTCTGTTTTATGTAGCAGCTCATTACTTCAACTATACATACGGCTGACTACGCACCACTACCATCTGATTACTTCAAGGTACCTGTGCACTCACTCAATGCACGGGTTTGGTACTACAGCCGCTCCGATCGTGGGGCGTAACAGACACACTGCCTATCACGTTGTGGCTACTTTGATATTTTCTTAGTGTAACTTCTTCACCCAATCCCCCCCCCCCCTGCTGTACCTTATTCTTCCACAACAACTCATACATCACGTTAGTGCAATGCAGCCGTACTTGAAAAATAACCGTAAAAATAAATGGACCTTATATTTTTGCTAGTATTTCCTTCGAATCTCAACTGAGCACCTTCGATTCCTCATAGAGAAAGCTTTGTATTGGTAAAAAAATAAAGTTTTTGTGAAAATATTTCAGAAATGTTTTGTATAGTGTCTAAATTTAAAAACCTAATTTTTAGAAAAAGTATGAGTGCGTGTATGTGTGTGATCAGTCATATCTCAGGAATCGCACAACTACTTTTAATATTCTAGGGCCTAAAATTTTTCTGTTGCAATCCGTATGGTCACAGAAAGAAAAAGTTAAGATCTGTACGTTGTAATGGTAAAAATATTAATTTTTAATGGTAAAAAATTGGTTATTCGTTAAAATAAGTGTCAACAATTTTTCATGCGAAGCTTAAAATAATTGAATTTAATAATAAATAGTATACCTTGTTTACCATTTTTTAGGGTCTTAGTTACTTGATTTGGTCAGTTTTTATTTACAAAATAATGACATTTTTTGGGGAGAAAAAATTATGTCTCTAAAACGGATTACCAGATTCTAGAAATTACAGGCTACAATGGTATATCAAACGATGTATTAAATTCATAAAAAAATCATGAATCCCATTGCCAGATTGTAAAATAAATTCTCTTAAATAATAGATCTTCTAAGCAGTTTCCACAAAATGAAAAGAAAATTTTATTACTTAATAGTAAATTTACTATTTAAATGAACAGAGAATGTTGAAAAACCGCACCAAAAAATAAATTTTAAACAGTTGTTCAAAATTAAAAGCAGAATAATACAGCTTAAGGTAACTTTTTGCTCATGTATGAGCAGCAAATTTTTTGTTTTAACAAATGTCTTGAAAGAGCTACGTAAAGGATGCCTCTTATGTTTTTAATTTCTATTCTTATTTGTCTCGCTTATTATTGTCAAGTAAAATTTCTCCGTCATATTAATATTCCATCGTCCTTGATAACATATCTCCATCTTTTCAACATCCTGATGGAATGTTCTTGCTTTTCGCAAAAAATTCCAAGATTTTCTGAGAAAGACTAAAGGTCAGAATCTAGGAAATGTAGTCTGAGATCCATAAGACACCCTGATTCTAGGAAACTCTCTATCATGTTCTTCATAATTTTTTCATATCGTTCACTCTTGGTGTTTCCAAGAAAATTTTCCAGAATATCTTTAAAAGCAATCCATCTTACCTTTTCAGTATCATTCATAGTAGTTATAAAAGTTTCATCTCTCAATAGCGTATGGATCTGAGAATTATCAAATACACCTTATTGGACTTTAGCATCTGACAACTTTGGAAATGCGCGCCTGATGTATGCAAAACATTGTCCTTCCTTGTACAGAGCCAGAAGAAATTGCTTTATCAACCTTAATTCAAAATGTAAAGGAGACAGAAGAATTTTACTTGGCTTAATTAATAGCTACTTTACAATATTCTTTAAGCCAGGCTGTAAAGACGTTTTGGGTATCCATTCTTTTTTAATACAACGGTTTTGTCAATCTCGGCTATCACATTTACAAATGAAACGTGGATGCTTCATAAATCCGGAGTGCTGACCTAAAATCATTGACAAATCTTTTAAATCCTAACAAACCAACCATTTGTGCTTGTCATAATTGTGTTTTTTGAAACTATTCCTGTGTTTGTAGATTATGTTGAATTAGTTTGAATTAGAGTCTTGGTGAAGAAATTTTTGTTCTCTTCATCTCCGTCTTCATAAAATGTCACTTAGCTTGTTTGGGTCAACATATTTTTGATTTGATGTAAGAGGCAAGTAATGCAGCTGCTTCTTTGGATAAACTTGACCTTCTTATTTAATCGTTGAGTTGTTTTTGAGAATACTTATATTATTCTACACATTCTCGCTCAAAGCACATTATTCCACACATTCTCACTCAAAGCACATTATTCCACACATTTTCGCTCAAAGCAGTTGTCGTCGCTTCCGTTATCTAATGTGGTAGCAAGATTGATTTGCAACTATTTATTGTAGATGTCGATAGATCGTAGGTCTATATGACGTAATGTTTTATTGAAGTCTGACTAATCGGTGGTTAGTTACGCCATATATTTATGGCACCTTTAACCACCTCATCCAATTGTTGGAAACAATCAGTAACGACGCATCGTAGCAACCACTTATCACAGTAACAATAAAAACAACGGATCAGCTTTGAACCTTATACATGCTGCATACAATCTTATAAACATTGATTTGTATTATTATTTAATGAAGGTTTTTGTTGAGCTATTGAACGATTACTCAGATTTTCATTAACCGTCTACATTGGTCGAATACAAGCTTGGAAAAACTTGCGAATAAGACTCCCAAATATTGAAAGCCACATACATGCATCAGAGAAAAGTGCTACTACATAACTAAAAAGCTTGTTACTAATAAAGAAAATAAAATGTTGATAACAATGTCGAAAAACATAAAAATGGACATGACAATGGGGATTAAAAAAAAAGGATAGAGATGAAGAAAGTAACGAAAAAAAAGATTCAGAGAAACAATTTATTATATACGACTGAAGACCTAGAAAAAAAGTATAGAAGTATTCTCAAAAACAACTCAACGATTAAATAAGAAGGTCGAGTTTATCCAAAGAAGCAGCTGAATTACTTGCCTCATGTATAAAATCAAAAATATGTTGACCCAGACAAGCTAAGTGACATTTTATGAAGACGGAGATGAAGAGAACAAAAATTTCTTCACCAAGACTCTAATTCAAACTAATTCAACATAATCTACAAACACAGGAATAGTTTCAAAAAACACAATTATGACAAGCACAAATGGTGTGTTTGTTGGGATTCAAAAGTTTTGTCAATGATTTTAGGTGAGCAGTCCGGATTTATGAAGCGTCCACGTTTCATTTGTAAATGTGATAGCCGAGATCGACAAAACCGTTGTATTAAAAAAGAATGGATACCTAAAACGTCTTTACAGCCTGGCTTAAAGAATATTGTAAAGTAGCTATTAATTAAGCCAAGTAAAATTCTTCTGTCTCCTTTACAATTTAAATTAAGATTGATAAAGCAATTTCTTCTGGCTCTGTACAAGGAAGGGCAATGTTTTGGATACATCAGGCGCGCATTTCCAAAGTTGTCAGATGCTAAAGTCCAATAAGGTGTATTTGATAATTCTCAGATCCATACGCTATTGAGAGATGAAACTTTTATAACTACTATGAATGATACTGAAAAGGTAAGATGGATTGCTTTTAAAGATATTCTGGAAAATTTTCTTGGAAACACCAAGAGTGAACGATATGAAAAAATTATGAAGAACATGATAGAGAGTTTCCTAGAATCAGGGTGTCTTATGGATCTCCGACTACATTTCCTAGATTCTGACCTTGAGTCTTTCTCAGAAAATCTTGGAATTTTTTGCGTAAAGCAAAAACATTCCATCAGGATGTTGAAAAGATGGAGATACGTTATCAAGGACGATGGAATATTAATATGATGGAGAAATTTTACTTGACAATAATAAGCGAGACAAATGAGAATAGAAATTAAAAACATAAGAGGCATCCTTTACGTAGATCTTTTGAGAATAAGAAGGTACGTAAACAAGCAAAATCTTCCCCTTAAACCCTTTATTTTGACTTTGGATTCAGAGTCAGCACTAAAAAATACGTAAGAAAACGTGTTTAGACCTTTTTTTTGTGGGCTGGAGTAACTAACATTTTCTTAACTAAATATTGGAATATTTTATTGTTATTATTTCAGTGTTTTTTCATACATTAAGTAAGAGAAATATCTAGTTTAAAAAAAGGTTGTTAAATTTAATAATAATAATTAAATTTGTTTATCAACTATTTGATAATTGAAAATCCACTAATTTTCTTAGCCTGCACAATGGAGTCATACAGTTATGGGATTACAGAATGTGCACGTTGCTTGATAAATTTGATGAACATGATGGTCCTGTGCGCGGAATATGTTTTCACACTCAGCAACCTTTGTTTGTGTCTGGAGGAGATGATTATAAAATCAAAGTTTGGAACTATAAGCTACGAAGATGTATTTTTACTTTACTTGGACACTTAGACTATATCAGAACAACTGTTTTTCATCATGAATATCCTTGGATTTTAAGTGCATCAGACGATCAAACAATTAGAGTGTGGAATTGGCAGAGTCGAACATGTATTTGTGTTTTAACTGGACATAATCATTACGTTATGTGTGCTCAGTTTCATCCATCAGAAGATATTATAGTTTCAGCTTCTCTTGATCAAACAGTCAGAATATGGGATATTTCAGGACTTAGAAAAAAAAATGTAGCTCCTGGTCCAAGTGGGCTAGATGATCACTTGAAAAGTCCGGGCTCTACAGATTTGTTTGGACAAGCCGATGCTTTAGTAAAGCATGTGTTAGAAGGACATGATCGGGGAGTAAATTGGGCATGTTTTCACTCTAATTTACCACTAATTGTGTCTGGTGCTGACGATCGTCAAATAAAAATGTGGCGAACAAATGATGCTAAGGCATGGGAAGTTGATACATGCCGTGGTCATTACAACAACGTATCTTGTGTGCTATTTCACCCAAGACAGGAAATAATTTTATCTAATTCTGAAGATAAGAGCATTCGCATTTGGGACATGACAAAACGGACATGTTTGCACACTTTTAGACGAGAACATGAACGGTTTTGGGTACTAGCAGCACATCCAACATTAAACTTGTTTGCCGCTGGGCACGATTCAGGAATGCTTATTTTTAAACTAGAAAGAGAGAGACCAGCATATACCGTTCATAACAATTTATTATACTATATTAAAGATCGTTTCTTACGTAAGCTTGATTTTAGCACGTCAAAGGATACATCGGTCATGCAAGTAAGAGGGGGTGGTAAAATTCCTGCCTACAGTATTTCTTACAATCAAGCTGAAAATGCTGTACTAATTTGTACAAGATCTTATGCCAATATTGAAAATGGTACTTACGACTTGTATATTCTACCTTCAGATGATAATACCGAACCAGAAACGAAACGAGCTTCAGGAATTACAGCTCTTTGGGTAGCCAGGAATCGATTTGCCGTTCTTGATAAGCATGTTGGTTCCTACTCTGTAAGTATTATTGCAATTAAATAATCTATTTTTGATCACTTTTAATGTTAATTTATTTGTGGTGTTTAACATAGTAAAGCAGAAATATTGAGATTATCTGCAAACATAAAAAACTTTGTTGAGTATAAAAATCAGAAACATGTAAATGGAACTCTTTACCTTGTCAGATTTTTTTCTGTAAACTCTACATACATGAAATTTACACCGTTCTTCTTTAGTTTGTAAATATATATGTAAATGTCTAGCTTGTAAAATATTTTTTTTGTTCAATTGCATTTAAACAAAATCCATCACGATCTGTTTTTTTTCTTGTCTTTTCATATTTTTATTTGTTGAGATTAAAATTTTTAACGAGAGTGACGTATCAAGTAACTTTAATTTTACTAATATCAATCCCTAATCTTTCTATTTGCTTTTTTTTTTTTTTTCTTAACATTTTTTATTGAAGATTTTTCAATTTAACATAAACTGTTTCTTATTCAGACTTGTAGTCAACATAGCAGCTCAATTATTTATGGAAATAACTTTTACAATATTTATATATTCAATTTGATAGTTTTCGTTTACATTATGATATTATTATTATTCAGTGTATTTTGAAGTTTTCGTTAAATTTCCATACTCAGAAATAGGAAGTACCCCTAAGTTGTTTACATAAATGTTTACTGGTTTTCATAATTCTGTTTTAAAAGTTTCTCTCAACAAACCTCTTATTAACAGGATTTCAGTCACAGCTTCTGATAAAGCTGTATACCCTGCAAATATTGAACATTTTGTTACATATTTTGTTTATGCATTTTCCAAAAAATTATTTTATTATGCAATCTTATTACGTATCCTGTCGTCGACTTGCTATTATTATTATCACCGGCTTGGTCAGAATCTTCTATTTAGTCCAACATCTCACCTTTTTGAGAATAACTATATATTAGTCAAGTCATGCAGAAGCGCAACGAGGCAAGTTTGTGAAGCAGACTTTGGCAAATGTGTTACTATTTACTGAAGAATCGTATACTCAACTTTTCGAACAGCAAAAAAACATGTTTTTTATCGATATTTGCTTCTTGCATCAATCTAAAATAGTGCTACCTGCAGGGATAAAGAAGTTGATACTAACTAATAAAAATATACAGAAATAGGAAATTATCCATTACAAGTGTTTGTATCAATAATTATGCATCTTTAACAGCTGACGTAATTTTTTTGGGTGTTGAGTATACTTTCGAGCTGAAAAATACATTTAAAAGTGCTTCAATTAAAAAAATGTTTTTCTTCTCACGTGTTTGTACTTCGCAAGTAAGTATGGTAATTTTCCTTACATATCAATTCATTTCGTAGAGTACTTTTAAGTGAACTTATTGAAAAGTAATATTTTATATGTTCAATCGCACATTATATGCATTTCATATAAAAAATGCACTTTTTTTTTATGAAGTTATAAAACAAAGCCTTTTTTTGTTATTAACATTGTACTTGGGACTTTTGGGACTGAAAAAACTTATTATAGTTGTTAAAAATACATTATTGTTAAAATTAAGGCTTGTAATTAAGATATTTGTGGGTTTTCTTGTTAGTTAGTATCGGTATTGTACCCCTGCAGGTGATGCACAAAAAGGAAAACATCATAAATTTTGGGTTAACTTAACCTCTTTTATTCTTAACAACAGCTTTACTGAAAAATTTTAATGAAAAAATCGTCTTATAACTGTAAACAAAAGTGGTTTTACCCTTAAGTTAGCTGCAAGCCACGTCATTCCTTTAAAGTATACAGATAGGCGGGCTCTTCAAAACACAAATTGCTGTCAACAGTGTTATGTTAGTTGTAGGTACATTAACTGAATTCTAATGTTTTATGGATGGATTTACTGCTATAAATATAATAGCCACTACTTATGAATGCAGCGTTTGCATGCTGGTTTTTGAGTATTATCAGTACGATTGCATGTATATATGGATAGACTGGCATGGTAAGTAAGTAAGTTGCCTATCAAATGAAGATATGAGATTGGCATCAACAAACTGTTGTCAGTGCCATACATCATTTTATAAATCAAAATGAATGTTTCTTCTATTTAGAGATGAGACATTACGTGAAACGAGAATTAAATGTCATAAGTTTTTAAATTATAGGTTATATTTATTCTTAAATATAATATACACCTTAACTAGTGGCCAACTACTAAATTAAATATACGTACTTAGTCAACTATTGTCAATACTTTTTGACATCAACGGAGTATTTTTTGATGGAAAATAAAAAAAATAATTTGTTCATCGTAAGTCAGCAAATTCTTTTGTAAAATCTTACACGAGGGTGGACAGTTTCTTTAAAGTTGTAGAGAAAAAAGGTTTATATTAAGGGTTGAAGTGAATAAGTTGGTTTTAATAAATCATTTGGCACTGGAAATTTTATCCACTTAAATTGTAAATATACTAAGAGACATATATTAATCACCTATATAATTTGTATTTTTATGATTTCGTTCAAAAAGCTTTAAAATGATCAGTTATTTACTGTGCGTGACAAACTTTTACTAGTTCATTTGAACTAGTCTTCCAGATAGGTTCCCTCAAAGTTTTTTGAATAATATCAAATTATCTTGATAGACGTAAAAATTACTGTATAATAAATTCATAAAGTTTGGAACTAACAACTGAATCTTTGTACGCTCGAAACCTTGTCGATTGGACTAGGCTTCGCAGTTATGTTTTATAGGGAGAGGATAAAGAAAGAAAAAATACTGCACTTAGGGAAAAAAGCCGGGAGGCATAAAAAAACCCAATTTATTAATGAAACAGAAACAAATACACTCCGGATTAAATGCACTGAATTAAATTGAATATTACGAACGTTAAATAATACACTGAATAGACTAAGAATAAAATACAATACAAAGATGTGAGCCAACGTGTGTGTGTGTGTGTGTGTGTGTGTGTGTGTGTGTGTGTGTGTATGTGAATGCAACTCAGAGCTGCTCGTTGACGGCGCGTCGCTAACCTGGTGGTCGGCGCCTGGTCGTTCGCGCTGATGCGAGAGCGACGGTGTCGTGGGTGGCTGGGCCACTGATCGCGTGCGGCACGGATCACTTCGGTGTGTCCACGAGGACGCTGGTGCGTCGCGGTCGCTAACACGTGAATATACCGCGGCGTATCGATCAGAAGGCGGGATTGAGAAAGAGCACACAAAAAAGGCACGGCGTTCGTTAAACGTAATCTACGTGAGAAAAACACGAGGTCACAGAAAAACTATAAGCACGAATTACTACGGTGAGTCCCAAGAGAGCCGACGTAAGTATCTCAAGAGAGCCAGACGTAGAGTGACCTCATTACCTAAAACAAAAGGTTATTAGTTCTGATGCGTTGGCGCTGGTCAAGACTCTCCCCCCTCTCTCCATTCAGGCAGGGAGAGACTCGATCCTGTCTCGACTAATTGGTGTGAAAACTGTCTCTTTCTCTTTCCCTCCTCTTTTCTTGCTGTACATATACAGGTGCGGATGTGTGTGCACGATTGCACGGAAGCAAAGTCTTCCTTCCTTGAATTATGAACCGACGCGGCTATTATAGAGGTATATTCCATAACGAACCGACGGAACATTCTCCCCGCGTTGCGAGTAACCGAGCAAAATTGATGTGTGTTGTGTATATGAGAATCTTCATGAGGGTTTTAGCAGGTTCTCTTCTGTCGGCAATGGGCATAACAGTGTTACGCTGCGTCGAAAGGTAGAGGTTCCGGCCTTGACTGTAGCGACTCGAGTGACCTTGTCGTCGCCTGGATGCACCTCGAGTACTTTTCCCAGCTTCCATTGAGCACAAGGGATGTTTTTGTCGATGACGAGGACGATTGTGCCCTGTTTGAGGTCATCATCTCCCGTGTGCCATTTTTGCCGTTTTTGGAGTTCCGTGAGATACTCGACTTGCCATCTCTTCCAGAAATGTTGTCGGGCCTTCGAAACAAATCGCCAGATGGAAAGGCGATTGTCTGGAACAGAAAGCAAATTACATTCCGGCAGCATCGTCATAGGGCGACCGACTAGAAAATGCGCTGGTGTTAGTGCGCTCGGATCGTTTGGATCGGTGGAAAGAGCGCATAAGGGTCTCGAATTTAGAAGAGCCTCGATTTCAATGGTAAAGGTGTTTAATTCTTCGAATGTAAGCAATTGATCCCCGATAACGCGCTTGAAGTGGTGTTTAAATGATTTTACGGCTGCTTCCCAAATACCACCAAAATGGGGAGCGAGAGGGGGGTTGAAGTGCCAGGTTATGCCCTTAAGTGAAGCGAAGTGTTCCACGCTGTCTCGAAACTGTTCGGATTGCAAAAGCGCATATAATTTGCGAAGTTGGTTGCTTGCGCCGATAAAATTTGACCCATTGTCGGAATAAATATTCGATGGCCGGGCTCGTCGACCGATTAATCGTCGCAGAGCACCCAAAAACCCGTCGGTGGTCAGATCGCTTACGATTTCTATATGCACCGCCTTTGTAACCATACAAATAAAAACACACCCATATGCCTTAACTCGCGCGCGATTTCTGTGTTTTTTCTCTTTGATGAATAATGGACCGAAAAAATCAACCCCGACATGCTCGAATGGAAAAGCTTCGGTGACACGCGATTTAGGTAAATCTCCCATTTTCATTTGAAGAGGGGTTGGTTTGTATCGTATGCATGGAATGCAGCGCCGAATGATTTTTCGAACTTGATTTTTTCCGTCTACCAGCCAATATCGTTGCCGAATAGCAGAAAGCGTGCTTTGAACTCCGGCGTGGTACGCGTTTATATGCATTTCACGAATTACCAGGTTGGTCACGTGATGGCGAGAAGGTAAAAGTATTGGAAATTTGCGGTCGGAATCTATTGGCGCTTTACTTAATCGACCCCCGACGCGAAGTAATCCGTCTCCGTCAACAAAGGGATTGAGTTCCGATAGTCGAGTTTTCTTGGCTCCCTTAGCGCTTGTTAGAAAATTGATTTCAGATTGATATTGTTCGGATTGAATGAG